GTGACGTCGATAGCTTCGGGGGGGGGGCGGGAGGTCACGTGGCCCGACCGCTCAGCCCTTGGGCGTCCCTTGAGGTCTGGGGTCTTAGTTTTCTTGCTGCAGCTTCGCGTCTCCAAACGCTCCACTCTCTTCTCCAAGTGAAGCACCTGAGAGACGGTAGCAGTGTCGGGCCTGGCCACCCTCCCTAGCGTTTTCTCCCGCCCGCGCCAGTGAACACCAAGCTGTGCCTGTCATCCCGGTGCTCGCCCTTAGGGGCCCAGTGCGGTCCTCTGCAGGCCTCTGGGCGCCTGGTGTCCACTTACTCTCATTACTGCCAGGTCCCTGTGCCCGCCAATGTCTGTGGCCAAGGCCTCCTGTGCCCCCCGCCCCCGCCACCTCCTTTGGCTTTTCTCTGGGCCAACCTTGGAAGGGTCCCCTGGTCACTACCGGCCAACGTCTAGCTGCCCTCGGTGGCTAGTGAGCTCCCAAACGCCACGTTGGCCGTGGTGTGGATCTCCTACCAGACACCCTTTTCTCCTTCCTTGTCTCTGCGGCACCAAGGGCGCACAGGGGCTTGGGTCCCAGATACCCCATTCATTCAGTGAGGGGAAGATGACTGGGCTCTAAGACTGCCTTCAGCAGCAAAGGGGGAGTCGGACCTGCATCTTCCTCTTAGGGTCCTGGAACTGGGAGAGGTGTCCATTGCTGTTACTGTCGGGAGAATAATTAGTAATCCTGGTGGCAGTGAGTAGAAGGACACAAACGTGATTAGGCGGGAGGCCTGGTGGGGTGGAGGGAAGCAGGGCCTGGACCAGGAGCGCCCCAACAGCCGCTGAGCGGGCCTGGACCTCGTGCAGGTTGAAGAAACCACAGCGAAGGAGATACGGTCTCCTGGCCAACACTGAGGATCTGGGCGACATGGCCTCCCTGGACAGTGACGAGGAGACTGTGTTCGAGTCGAGGAACCCGAGATGGTAAGGCAGTCCTGCTGGCCTCTAGGCCTCAAGTGAGGGCCTGGTTCAGTGACTGGAGTCAGGGAAACAGCAAGAGCCAGAGGCTTGATCAGCTTGTGGGGCCTCTGACCCATCTCAAGCATCTATGCTCAGGTCACTACCACCCAGGACAAGGCCTAGGACTCTCCTTAAGATGTCCCAGGCCTGGGGATTTGGCTCAGTGGTTCCGCTGCCTGCCTTGAAAGCACAAGGTCCCAAGTTCGATACCTAGTACAAAAAAAAAAAGATGCACCAAAGTACTAAGCATGGTGGTGCATGCCTGTCATCCCAGCACTCTTGGAGGCTGAGGCAGGAGGATTTCGAGTTTGAGCCCAATCTGAACAACTTAGACCCCAAAACAAAAAAAATTTTTAAGGTCTAGTAGCCCTGAAAACCACAGATTCCATCTTCAGTACTGGGAAATAAATAAGGTGCTCTAGACTCCACTCTGATGGACAATAGAAGTGCCCAGGTGGAGAGTTCGGTCAGGTAAGGCCTGTTTGGTGGTAGGTAGGAGGACCAGCACCAGCACTTGAAGATGCCCAGGCAGAGGTATCAGCAGGGGTGAAGGCCCTGAGGCTGGTGGGAAGCGGGGCTGGATAGAGACGAGAGGAACCACCTGGCTGCCCTCAGGACGCTTGCCTGCTCGGGGTCTGCTGACATGGAGACCAGGGCAGAGCTTTCCAGGCCCCTTCAGGAGGCAGATTCTAGGCTAGGGACGCCCTTTCCTTCTCGGTGGCCGTTGTGGGTGGGTGCCCTGCCCTCCCCTCTCACTCTGTGCCCCTCACATTCCAGATGCTGCTGTAAGGCAGTCACGTTCCTAGAGGCCATGGGGAAGGATGAGATGGCCCCTGTGTTCTGCTGGCTTCAGTGTCCACCCTCCAACTGAGACCTAAAGTCCCCGTCACACCCGGACCCCAGTTCCTGATCATGTGGCCTCGCCTCCCTGCGCACCACTACTGCCTGGCCCAGGGAGCCCTGTGGAAGCCAGAGGGGCCCTGGCAGCTGCCGCCCAAGATTCTGACGCTCCCAGACAGACTGTGACCCATGCTACTCCCCTCCCCTTGGGAACTGGCAGCCCTGCACCGAGGCCTGCTGGGCAGGCGGACGGAGGGGTCTGTCGGGAAGCCCCTTCCTGTGGGGCTGTTGACAATAAAGGAAGCCATGGTTTTGCGCCAGGGACAGCCCCACCTTGACTCCACACTGGGCCACCTGGCTGGGCGGATGAGAGGTGGGTTGGAGTGTCGTTAGAGACCAAGCTGGGCTGTTGTCACCTTGCCCCAGCTGTCTAGAGGATTGGGTTAGGAATCTCGAGTGGTAAACAGAGGCAGAGGGGACCAGTTGCCTAGGACAAGGCCTTGCCTGTTATTTCTCTTTCTAGAAGGAACCTGTGTTTGGGCCGGGGATTTAGCTCGGGTTCCGCCGCCTGCCTTGCAAACACACGGACTCAAGTTTGATCCCCGGGACCAAAACAAGAAAGGAGCAGGGGATTTGGCTCAGTGGTTCCACTGCCTGCCTCACAAGTGTAA